GTAAACATATCTCATCCAGTTTTTCTCAGTCTTACCCCCACCCCAATGCCAGCCTCATTCTACAACAGTGGCACCATATAGCATTTGTCCCTTTGTGACTGAGGCATTGATTCTTTTTCTGTCATCCTTAGTTATTGTCCAGCTCTCTGATGCATAGCAAGTAATTATAAAGACCATGGCCTGTATCAGACGCACCTTATTCTCTAAACCAACTATATACATGCACCTTTTAAAAATCACTTTGGACTTACTTGTAAATATTTAAATTGTTTTTGTTTATATTTTTTAAGGATTTTTGGTGTCATTTGGCTTAGTTTAGAAATATTTTTATTATTATAAATAATGCTTTAATATATTTCCTTATGTATTCACTAACACTGGAAAATGCTAAATAATTTGTCAAGAATTAAAAAGAAGTGTCATTCTAGAACTAACTTGTGCATTTAAAATATTGATAGCTAAATATGCCAGCTGGCCTCCTGAGTATGTGACATTCTTTGTTCATATTCCCACTGCCATGAGTCAGTTTCAGCTCATGACCACCTTCCATGGATTTCTGAGACCACAGCTCTTTATGAGAGGGGACTGCTCATCTGTGTCCCCAGGTGGGGCTGGTGAATGGCAGCAGCCCAACACATAACAAAGGCACCTAAGCTTCCTAACTGTTGTTATTCTGCAGCTTTGCATTGTTGTCATTCTAGATGCTAAGTTGCTCTGAGAATTTATGGAAACCAATTAAGGTGTTTGCTTCATTGAGAATGTGCTCTCAGAATGTTCTTTGGAGACAAAAATGGTGATGCTTTGTCTCACAGACTTTGGACATGTTGCCAGGAGACAGACATCATACTTGGAAGGGTAGAGAGTCAGTGAAAGGAAGAAGACTCCAAAAAGATAGGTAGACACAGTGACTGCATCAGTGGATTCAAGTGTGTTGGGTACAGTGAGGATGGCACAGGATAGGACAAGAGTGAATAAGTGGGGTACTGTATACCAATGAAGGAATTTTTCTTTTCCTTTTCAAAGAAAGGAGTGGACTGGGGTGGGGGTGTGGGGTGGGGAGGGTTGAGCAGGGGGAAAAGTACAACAATGAATGAATGGAAATCCAAAATCTCTGTAAATGTTCATTAAAATTAATAAAATAAAATTTAAAAAGAGTGAATAAGCAATTGGACTAAATATAGAATATGGCATCATTATTGGAGGAAGAGTCATAACTTTCCTTGCTAGAAGCAAGGAAGATGAAGACTTTACCTGATAAGGGTCAAAGACTATATATCCTTCCAACTGAATTCCACCTCAACTTCAAGAAAGTTGAAATTGTCACAGCTGAATCGAGTGGCACCATCATGATATACAGAGGAAAGATTGACATTTTCAAAGATTTTACAGCTCATCTCCTCTGTTTATCTGGGACTCTCCCCACATTTTTATTTAAATTGATGTACCTACGCTTCTCCATTTTTTTAAAATTTAAAATAACTGATTTTTTTTAATGCTCCTGAGCATATACCTCTGTTCTTAGAGTGTTAAACCATGGAGCGCCCCATACAACTCTTTTCCAAGGACACAAGTGCGTGTGTGTGTGTGTGTGTGGGTGTGTGGGTGGGTGTGTCTGTCTACCTGCCTGTGTGTGTTGGCCACCTCTTTCCTAATTCTTAAAAGAAGTTTTCCTGCCTTTTCAGCACGCGATGCCCTGGAGAGAAGGGAGAGCATGTTTGCTGAAGGACACTATAAATATAATGCTTAGAAAATTGACCGGGTCTGTGATCGAAAATATAACTGAGTTGTCTTTGTTTTCTTCCAGTCAGGCATGATAAGAACCCCAGAAGCGGATTACTTCTTGAAACCACTGCCTTCATACCTCACAGGGAAGCTCAATGTCTCTGCCCGGGGTGGACCGCACTCCCACATCCTGTACAAGAGAGCTGCGGAGCCCCGGTCACACAGGGGGAATGAGATCATGATGATCCAGAGGCGGCGAGAACTGGACAGTCTCCATCACTCTCAGCAAGACCACCAACGTCCTCACGCTGGCTCGAAAGCCAAGCACCCAGACAAGCAGCATTTCTGTGGAAGGCGCAAGAAATGTATGTATGTAGGGGGAATCCTCTGTGTGTCTCATGATCACTCATGTCCACAGGAGTTTGCATTATGCCGGTGGTTTGTGATGAGCTACCAACTTAAGCTGAGTTCCAGCGGCCTCTTGAGTAAGAACTACTGGTGGTTTAAAGCTGTCCAGAGAACTACGGAACAAAGGCCTGGCACTCTACTGCCATAAAGCAAGAGCCAGAAAACTCTATGGAGCTCAGTTCTCTGCACACAAGAGGTGAACCATGAGTTAGGTTGACAGGACAGCAACACACTTGTTTTTGTATATTTACAGTTGGTAAGTCAGTGGAATACTTGACATTTTCTTCAACGTGTGTCTGCAGACGAGGCAAAAATTTATCTACATGTTGTTCAAGTAACATGACTCCAGAGGGACCCTATTATCTATAGGTTCAGTATAAAATGGCTTTGTGTGTTTACCGTGTTCATGACTCATTATTTTGAAGATCTCTTAGTCTGTCCTTGGACAGATTACATGAAAAAGTGCTGAGAAGGGAGGAACTTGCTGTAGGTCTTCATAAGAGCTCTAGCCACCTTAGCTATTAATCCTCTTCATGATATAATCCTCTTGCCTGATGCAGGCCATGGTCTTTTCAGTCGCTTGCTATGCATGTGAGAGATGCACAGGGAATAAGAGTGGAAGAAGAAGAGTGGATGCCTTTGGATTGTGGTGTTGGAGAAAAGTGCTGAATATAAAAAAGCAAAGCAAAACATCAATAAATGACAGATAAGTGTTAGAAGAGGGCAGCCAGAGTCTCTTGGAAGCTAGGATGGTGAAACTTTATCTTACATATTTTGGGCATGTTGCCAGGAGAAATATCCCTTGCAAAGAGATGGCATATTTACAAAGGTGGAGGGTCAGCCAGCGAAAGAGTAGAAGACCCTCAATGAGATGAATTGACACAAGACTTCAGCAGCGGGCTTAAGTGTGTTGGAGATGATGAGGATGACACAGGATAGGACAGGGTTCAGATCTGTTGTTCATAGTGTCGCTCTGAGTTGTACTCAACTTGACAGCGCCTAACAACAATAACATCAAGGTGTGGATCCAGGTAGTGTTTTAGCTGCGGTGACTTTTACGTGTAGGCCTGACTGTATAAAGAGAACCAAGAAGAACTGATGTCTTAGAATTGATGTTGGTGGAGAATATGGAATGTTTAAAGACAAGTCTATCTTGGGAGACACACACCTAGGGTCATCCTTATAAGCAAGAACAGTGAGACTTTCTGTCACCTACTTTGGACATGTTATCAAGAAGAGCTTGTTTTTGGAAAAGAATATCTTGGAAAAGTGAAGTGTCAGCAAAGGACATGAAGAGCCTCAAGGAGATGGACTGACAGACACAGTTATTGAAGCAGATACTAGGAGGATGCCGTAGAACAGGACATGTTTCATTCACAACATTTTATCCATGACCTCTTAAAATCTCTTTCAACACATTAGGGTGTGAGTTGTTCTTTACAGTTTTTAATAGGCAATGCTCCCAACATCATAAATGAGAGCTGCGTGTTTACTGGAATTGGCCCTAAGTACCTGATTCTCCCTCCTCCTGGGAGCTGGGGAGAAAGTCCAGCTTACCTCTGACCCAGTGGGGACTGCTTTCCTGGGCACCTCTGCTGCTGGACACAGCACATGTAGCAGAAGTGGGCATACTGCAGGTGTCTAAGGAGATTTGAATAAAGGGTCTGAGAACATCCCTTGGTACCTAAACTAAAGGAGGGCACTGTTCAAATTCCCGGCATCTGAGCAATATTTAAATAGATATTGTTAATGTCAGGTGCCCTTTAGTTAGTTCCAACACATAGGCACTCACAAAGGTTCTCACCCCTGGGCCGATTGGCAGCATCTTGATAGATGGTAATGAGATTGAGATTGTTAACAGCGTCCGTAAGCTTGGCTCCACAATCAACACTTCTCAGTACCAGCAGCTTGGAAATCAAGAGACAAATTGCATTGGGAAAGTCTGCTGTCAGTGACCTCTGCAGAGTGCTGAAGAACAATGATGTCAGTCTGGACACTAAGGTGCACCTGATCCAGGCCATAGTCTTCACAGTTACTTGCTATGCATCAGAAATCTGGATGATGACTAGGGATGTTAGAAGAATTGATGCCTTTGAGCTGTGGTGTTGGGAAAGAGTTTTGGATAAAACATAGACTGCTAGAAAAACAAACAGGTTCGTCCTAGAGAGGGTAAGGCCAGGCTGCTCCTTGGAGGCAGGGACTCTGAAGCTTCATCTGGCATACTTTGGATGTGTTGCAAGGAGGGACCAATCCTTAGAGAGGGATATCATGCTTGGAAGGGTGAAAGAACAGCGCAAGAGAGGATGACCCTCAATGAGATGCATTGACTCGGTGACTGGGGTTATGGGGGTAGGTGTGTCAGAGAAAACAAGGTTGGCAGATAATAGATCAGTGTTGAGAGATGTTGTACATACTTGCAAGTGACTCAACGACACATAACAACAATATAGCAACTCTGTGTACTAGGACATAAAACATTGCCCTCTTCTGCACCATCCATTCAATTGTTGCCATATTTTAACCCACTGAGGAAGTGACTATCAACTTATCTCAATGAGATTATCTCTTTTACGGACCCTCTACTTTTCTAAGCATAATGTCTTTCTCCAACGAGGACTGATGCCTCCTGAAAATAAGCCCAAAGGATTTTCCAAAGGAATTTCCCCACCTTTCCCTCTAAGGAGCACCCTGGCTACACTTCGTCCAACACAGAGTTCTCTGTTCTTTGGGCAGTCTTTTGTGTGTTCGGTATCTTTCACCAACACGGTTCAGAGATCACAATTCTACCTCTGCTTTCCTTAGAGATCATACAACTTTCACATGCACATTAAGTTGTTGTTATTGTTGTTGTTATTGTTATGTGCTGTTGAGTCACCTCCAACTCATAGTGACCCTATGTACAACATGTCCAAAGTATGTCAGATGGAGCTTCAGAATCCTTGCCTCCAAGGAGCAGCCTGGTCTCATCCTCTCTAGGAAGAACCTGTTTGTTTTTCTAGCAATCAATGGTATATTCAATACTCTTCTCCAGCACCCCAACTCAAAGGCATCAATTCTCTTTCTATCATTCCTAGTCATTATCCAGCTTTTTGATGCATAGCAAGTAACTGTGAAGACTGTGGCCTGGATCAGGTGCACCTTAGTCTCCAGCCTGACATCATTGCATTTCAGCACTTTGGAAAGCTTTCTGATAGTAGACTTTCCCATTGCAATATGTCTTTTAATTTCCTGGCTGCTGGTACCAAGAGTGTTGATTGTGAAGCCAAGCAACCTAAAGCTGTGAACAATCTCAATCTCTTCACCATTCATCATGATACTGCCGGTAGGCCCAGTAGTGATAATCTTTGTTTCTTGATGTTGAGCTTCAATCCATATAGGAGGCTGCAGTCCTTGACCCACTGTAGCAAGCGCTTCAGGTCCTCCTCTGTTTCAGCGAGCAGGGTTGTTTCATCTGCATAATGCAGGTTGTTGATGACCTCCAATCCTGATGCCACATTTCCACATACCACAGGTTAAATCTTTCTCCAATTCTTACATCACACTTTTTTATTATAGTCCAGATCAACTTATTATTTGTATATAAAATATTTATAAATGGTTTACAAAGAATATGGAGTATTTTTACCTTTATATTAAGTACACATGTATGACTCTTGAATAATAAGTATGAACACAAGAAGATATTCATAATGCATCTAAAATATACCTACCTTTTTTAAAAAGAAAACAAGCTAGTCAAACCAGTCATGTGCCCAGATACTGGGGGGAAAAAAATCAATGTTTAAACTGTCAGATCATTCAAAGGAACAGATGTAATTAAACATCTTAATGACAGGTAATTGTGGTCTTTTGTTTTTGTTAATTCTGTTGTGTTATCAGTTGATCTTTTGTATAGCCCTGTGAGATAGGTTTACATATTTACAGCTTGTGAAGCTCTGCTTCCACATTCCAGGACTTTGGAATCAAAGAACCCAAATCTTGCTGTTTTGTTTTGTTGTTTTTTGTTTGTTTTTTTTTTAGTTTTTAGTTTTTATGTGCTGTCTCCCAGCAACTCTGAACACAACACACAAAGCATCTCCTGGTCCTGTAACATCCTCGCAGTCATCACTCTACTTGGGCCCACTGTTAAATTCACGGTCTCTGCTCCATGGAGGGTCTTCCTTTTTGCCTCTGACCTTCTCCTTTGTAACCATGATGTATTTTTTCAACAGCCAGTCCTTGATAATGTGACTAACATAGATTGACCAAGTTTTGTCATCATCCTGTTTATGGAAGAATCTTCCAAAAATAGAGCAACTCATTCATCTGGTAATCCATAATTTTTCAATATTCTTTGCCAAATTACAATTCAGATGTATCACTTTTTCTCCCATCTTCCAAATTCATTATCTAACTTACCTGTGCATATTATAAAGGAATAATTTTCGTGACAACTACACTACACAACTACTCTTAAATTGGGTCTTCTCCTTCAACACAATCTTCATTTTATGGATTTTAAGGTTAAATAGTTTTATCATGAGCACTGTTTTCCAAGGCCAAAAGATACATGGCACCAGGAGTTTTGTTCTCTGGCACCAACTGAAAGACTGGTGAATCAAGTCTACTCCAGTGGCATCGTAGAAGATCAGATGTCGCACTCGGCCTTGTGTCACTCAGTCTTTGCCTCTGGTTTGCTTACTCTGTTCTCCTCCACAGACATGCCGAAGCCCCCCCAAGAAGACCTGTTCATCCTTCCCGATGAGTACAAGTCCTCTGTCCGGCTGAAGCGTGCCCTTCTGAAATCACACAGAAATGAAGAGCTGAATGTGGAGACCTTGGTGGTGGTTGACAAGAAGATGATGGAAAGCCATGGTCATGAAAACATCACAACCTACGTCCTGACGATACTTAACATGGTACGGTAGACCTTCCTATGTTCTTAGCCCTTTCCTGGCAGGGCACGTGTGTACTGTTACATAAACTCGGTTGCAAAATGTGGATTATAATATGAAATGTCACAGTTGTATAAAATGTCTATGTTGTCTGTTGTGTGCTCTAGAGTAAATTCCAACTAACAATGACTCCTTATGACTGAGGCGGGCTACCCTTAGTTTCTAACATTGTAATCCAGATCCTCTTAGTTTGAGGGCAAAGATGAATCTGATTCAAGGCATGGTCTGTCCAATTACTTGCTATGCATCTGAGATCTGGACAATACATTAGAAGGACAGAAAAAGAATTGGTATCTTTGAGCTATGGTGTTGGAGAAGAACACTGAACATCCCATGGATGGCCAAGAGAACAGACAGAGATGTCTTGGAGAGGGTGCAACCTGAGGGCTCTTTGTAGGCAAACATGATGAAGCTTCACCTCACATACACTGGACATGTTACTAAGAGGGGTTATTCCTTGGAGAGGAACATGATGCTGAGAAGGGTGGAGGGTTGATGAAGAAGAGAAAGACCCTCAACCAGTTGAATTGACACAGTGACTGCCACAGTGGTCTTTTATGTGTCAAGAAGTGTGAGTGACACAGGATAGAACAGGGTTCGGACCTTCTGTTTATAAGGTTGATATGAGTTTTAGTCAACTCAATGGGACCTAACAACAATCCTTATGAGAGTAGATTATGAAGTCCCTTTCTACTTCTTAATTCTCTCTCTCTGAATATATGTACTCCACATGTAAAGAGATAGATGATAGATAGATAGATAGATAGATAGATAGATAGATAGATAGACAGATAGACAGCGAGCTCTCGCTAGCTAGCTCCGAACCCTGCTCTATCTTGAATCAGTTTCATTGTCTCTGACTTATCTGTCCCTATTGTCCTAGTTACTGTATCAATTATTAACTGCTTCTGAAAACCCAAGGGGGTACTGGTAGGTAAGGAACACTCTGGTTTCACTTCCTTCAAGATAGGCCCTTTTGGTTTTTTAGCAGTCCACAGGATATTCCGTTTTCTGCTCCAACACAATTCAAAGGCATCCATTTTTCTGCCATCCTTATTTATTGTTCAACTTTCAGATGCATAGGAAGCAATTGAAAAAACCCTGCTTTGGATCAGGGGAACCTTCCTGAGTAGGAAGCAGTTGAATAAGAAAATCTGAGTCGAAAGCTATTCGGATACATAGGAAGTCACTGAAAAGACCAGGACAAAGCAAATGCTGGATTCAAACTGGTGACCCTTCAGTGAGCAGTCCAGCACCATGAGTCAAAGGCTTTGATTTTTCTGTCATCCTTAGTCATTGTCCTGCTCTCTGATGCATTGTTGTTGTTTTTGTTGTTGCTAAGTGCCGTTGAGTCATAGACAACTCATAGGGACCCTGTGAGTGAAAAAACTGAACACACATAACTTTCATTGTTTCTCCAAGTTCATAGGGTTTCTGGAGGCAAGGTGTTTTGGAAGTGGATGTCACTTTTGCTTTCAACTAAAGGCATGTAAGCAACTAACTGAAAATACTGGAATGAAAAATCACTAAAGCAAATGAAGTAAAAAGGACAGAGTTTGGTGCCTTTAAACGTCATCAAATGTTTCTACCTAAGGAAAATAACGGCCTATAAGATATCATCAGGTGCCGTCGAATCGACCACAACTCATCACGGATCTATGACCAAAACATCTGAACATATTAAATTGTAGAAATTGGCTAAATAGTTCAAACTTTCAAAGAATAGCTTAGTTCAGAAAGAGAAGACTATTGTTCAGAGAAAGTGCTTATTGATAAGTGAAAGTTTGTTTGTTTTTTTTTTAAGCTGAGAAATTACCTGCTTCTTTATTACTCCTTAGGAGAAGCTACCCTTTGTTGGGTTCTTTATAAAACTCATTAAATATAATCAGTTGCTGGACATCTAATAATTATTTTAAATTGTTACAGAAGAAAATAGAGAGCAGGGGGAAACATGGCAAGTGATTTTAAAGACCTTGGCTTAGCAAAGTGTGTTTCTTTCCCCCTTAAAACTCTTTATGAGCAATATTTTTGAAATAGCCTTCCTGTCCTCCTGCCTAAATAAGGACGTCTCTGGATAGAGAAAAGAATGAGCTACGAACAGAAAGGTTGATGGTTTGAGTCCACCTAGATGGACCTGTGGGCGCTCTGGGGAGCTCTGGTGGCCTAGTGGCAAGAAGCTGCACTGCAATCATGAAGGTACATGGTTCGAGTCCATCTGCTGCTCCAGGGGAGAAGGGTAGGCAGTCTCCTTCAGCGCAGTTAACTGCCTCTGAAAATCTGCCTGAAGGTCAGCTATGGGTCGATGCCTACTGAGCAGTACACAACAACCACAGATGTACCTCGGATGAGAGACCTGGGGATTTTCCTCAAAAGCCTGAACCTTTTGAAACTGTATGAAGCGTACACACCGGCTTGCCAAGAGCTGCGGTTGGCTCGAAAGCAACTAACTGATCCTAGACCATCGATCAGCGAAGCCCACACGTATCATTTCAGCTCCTAGCTGTCCTGTAAGAAAGAGTACACCAGTCCCGCAGGCGCCCCGAGGCTGTAAACCTTACAGAATCATCCCTCTCTCCCAGGGTGGCTGGTGTGTTCCAGCTGCTGGGCCTCCCATAGCAGCCATGGGCTTTAACCACTGTGTCACAGGCCTCGCTAATAAGCTGAGTGCTTCTTGACATGTGCCGTCTTCCCATGATGCTCTCTGGTCCTCTGTGGACTGAGCTGTGTCCTGGCAGGGAGCTGAGGTAGAGGGTGAAGCAGAGTCCTGGGTGATTCCTCTGACCTGTGGTGGAGGCTGCGGGGCCCGGGCTGCTCCAGGGCACATGGTGCTACTTCTGTGCTCTAGAATGTTCTGTTACCTAAGGATGAAATTGGCTCTTTGTGGCTCACGACACACGGTGTCCCCGGCCTTTGCTCAGGCCTTCTCATCATCCTGTGCCCTGTCTGTGAACTGCCGCCTGCTGTTAGGTTCTCTCCTCAGCCATCTGCTCTGCACATTTATTTCCTTATCTTCTTGGATCATGTTGGCCACTTCCCAAGTGTTTCTCTTATGTTTCTGGAATGCCTCGTCAGGAGAACTGGGGAGCCCTTGGCTGATACACTCACCATTGTGATTAAAAACTCTCATTTCCTCTTTCAGGGACACTTAGCAGCATCCACAATTAAAATCCAGCCCCACTCCTGTTGCGTTGCTTCAGACTCCTCGCAGCTCCAGGCTGGAGCAGATCTGGCCCGCAGGGTGTCTGAAGCTGAAAATGTCTGTGGGAACTGATTGCCAAATATCTTTCTCCCACAGAAAGAAAGCCTGGTGGATTTGAAACACTGACCTTTTGATTAGCAACTCAGAATGTAACCCACAGCATTGATTTCCAGGGTTCCACTTACTAGCATGGACACTTGGTAATCTTTTCAATGCCCTTTGATGATTAAAAAAAAGTCCCATTTTGATATATGAATGGGTATTCTTGTCATTACAGAAGTCCAGAGGAAAGGCTGCATAGTGGAGTGGACTTAGGAGGAAGGGATTGCATAACAATGAAAGAGTTTTTCTTTTTCTTTTCAAGGAGAAGAGTGAATTGGGGGTCAGGGGTGGTCAGGGAGAAAAGTATAACAATGAATGACTGGAAATCTTAAGTCTCTGTAAACTTTCATTAAAATTAATTTAAAAATATTACTAGAATAGGATATTGACAGGAAACTGCCAGAAGATAATGTTGGTTTCAGGAAAAGTTGAAAAAAAAAATTAAACTCTTTTATTTATATTAAAAAAAAAAGTCCCATTTTAACTTCATCCACCAATGTGTGAGGACTGAAGGATTCACAGTTAGGGCTTTGTTACTCCCAACTGTGGAACAATCTAAAAATTTTAATGCTATCATAACCTTGTCACTATGGAAGAAAGAGGCTAGTTTTTACTGGCAGGGCTCCTGTCTCACTGACAGGCTGTTGAAAAGCCACCATTGGGTAACAAAGACACTAATTTCCTGCTTTTCTTTTTTTTAAAAAAATCTTTCTAGGTGTCTGCTTTATTCAAAGATGGAACGATAGGAGGGAATATCAACATTGCCATCGTAGGGCTGATTCTTCTAGAAGAAGAACAGGTACAATATCTTGGCAATAACCAACACCTTTTTTTAAATAACAATGGGTCCAAGAGTAATGCATGCATTTGTCATTCCTTCTCAGGAATTTCTTAAAAAATCATTTGTGTCTAATGTAGTGAGGTGAAAGCCAGCAGAGGTATACTCTTTTACCATATTTATTCAACCTATATGCCCAGCAAATAATCTGAGAAGTTGATCTGTATAAGGAAGAATGTGGCATCAAGTTTGGAGAAGGACTCAGAACCTGCCCTATGCAGATGGCATTCTTTCTTTGGATCCACAGTAACACCCATGGAAGCAGTAGTCAAATCATCAGAGGATGGATTGTGGACAAATCTGCTGCCAGAAAGCCCTATAATGTGCTTTAATGAGCCAGGGCGTCAGTTTGAAATCTAAAATGTGCATGACCCAAGATGTGTCAGGCTTCGTGTGCTTATGGAAGTTGGGTAATGAGTAAGATACACTGAAGAAGAAGTGATACCTTTGAGTTTTGATGTGGTAAAACTGTTGGCTATACGGTGGACTAAAAAAATAATAATAATCTTGGAATACTTGCTGCCAGGGGGTTCCGTAGAAGCAAAGGCAGTGAGATTTCATCACACACACTCAGAGTGGGTTATCAGGAGGGACTGGTCCTGGAGAAGGACATCTTGGTCTGTAGAGGGTGGGTGGAAAAGGGGATACTTTGTGACTTTCATATGTGCATATTGACAAAAACACTCTTAACTTGGCTTATAAGAAGATGACCTGTAAGAATGTTTGTGGGGTTTTTTTGGTTGTTTTTTTTTTATTCATTTCAATGAACATTTACAGAGAGTTTGGATTTCCATTCATTCATTGTTGCACTTTTCTCCTCGCCCACCCCACCCCCACCCCCAGTTCACTCTTCTCTTTGAAAAGTAAAAGAAACATTCCTTTATTGCTATACAATCCCCCCTCAACCCCCACCTCGAGTATACTCCACTCTGCAACCTTCATTCTGGACTCTTATGATAATCATAATGTCCTAAAATATAATGTTTTTAAACTTTTCTCTCCCTCATTGATTTTAATGCAGTATATGTAATTCATCCAGTTTTTCTCATTCTTACCCTAACCCTGATGTCAGTCTCATTCTATAGCAGTGGCACTATGCAGTGTTTGTCCTTTTGTGACTCAGCATAATGTCCTCCAGGGTCACCCATTTTGAATAATATTGCATGAGTTCCTTGCTTTCCAATGCAGCGTAGTATTCCATCGTGTGAATATACCACAGCTTCTCTATCCATTTGTTTGTTGATGGGCACTTAGGTTGTTTCCAACTCCTTGCTATTGTGAACAAAGCCGCAATAAACATGGATGTGCATATATCTGCTGTGGGGTATATGCCCAGTAGTGTAAGAATGTTTTTAACTGAGTGAGTATTCAGGAATAGAGACCACAAACAGGAGCTCTTAGGTGGAATTGAGCCTCTCTGTATGGCCAGAAGACTAAGACTGTTTCCTTGCCTGGAAGCTCAATTCTCGCATATGGCTTGACATTGTTTGACTAGCTCGACATTGTTTGATGGCATGACTTCCCACGTCCAGAGTATGATGAGACTACCCCTTATTACCTTCATCCTTCTTGTCATTGTTGTTTTGTGCCATCAAGACGGAAGTGACTCATAGCTGACCGTCAGTGGGTTTTCGGAGACAGTTTATCACATCGGAGGAGAATGCCCATCTTTCTCTCCTCGAGCAGCTGGTGGATTCGAACCACCATGCCTTGATCCTTTGATTGTATTTTATTCTGAAGCATTTTGCTTGAATCTCTTAGAACAGACAAAAGTTCAACTTGTGCCAGATCTTACTAGCAGCAAGTACAAGAATCCCCCCTGTCATCCGGGACCTCTTTGTGGAAGTATTTAGGGTTCACTGATGGAATTCTGGCTTCCCTGCAGAGGGACTAGGTCCCCCCTTGCTGACCAATGCACTGCCTGTGCAGCTTCCTGCCTGTCAGTGGAAGCATGTAGATTTGTTATGAAGCTGAACAGGGAACTCTGGTGCCTTAATGTCAAGGAATTACACTGCCAACTTAATGGTATGTGGTTCGAATCCACCTGCTACTCTGTGAGAGAAAAATGCACAGTCTCCTCCCATGTGATTTACTGCCTCTGAAAACCCTCTGGAGATCAGCTATGGGGGGCTTCCAACTCAGTGATACACAATTGTAAAATGGTGCAACCATTCTGGAAGGCAGTTTGGCACTTCCTCAGAAAGCTGAACATGGAAATTTCATATGACCCAGCTATTCCACTATTTGGATTATACCCTGAGAATATGAGAACTGAGGCACAAACTGAGATTTGTATACCTGAGTACATAGCAGCATTATTCACCATCGCAAGAACATGGAAACAGCCCAAATGGCCAACCACAAATGAATGGATTGAGAAATGATGGTACATTCACACAATGGAATACTATGCAGCATGCAGGAGCATTAACTTTGCAAATTATTACCTAACTTGGGGGGGACTGGAGAGCATTATGCTGAGTGAACTAACTCAGTCCCACAAGGATAAATATTGTATGAAACCATTATTGCAGAATGAGTATGTGGATCCAGGAGGGGGTGGGAGAGGCTGGAAACAGAGGGATGTGGATGTGCAGGGGGAGAGGGGATTAATCATTGGGTTGTACAAATTGAAGGGTTGGGGAGTGATGGAAATTGAATGAATTTGTTCAAATTTTTATTAGAATTTTGTAAATAAACTAGTTGGGGGGTGGAAGGAGAGAGAAGAAAAAAGATGTGGAAATCTACCTTCCAAACATCAGCCAATAAAAAGCCTGTTGATTCAAACTACAAAAGCCCTTTCTGGGAATGTGAACCTTTTGTAGTTAACAACAGCCTACCTCAATTTATACCAAGCAAGCAACATTTCTCATCCTAAGCAATGGGAAGGAGGTGATCATGCTCATAAAAGGGTCTCCTTTTGATTTTGTTCCAAGTTGATTGTTTACTTGAATTAGGAGAATGAGTCCTGACTCCAAAGCCCTGTCCATTTTGGCTGACATCTCGGCCACATCTCCTCTACCCTATCATTTTTTTGTTTATGAAATTAAGATTTTTGAAATGAAATAAGAGAGTCCTTCATACTTGAAAGGTTGAGGATGCTGCCTTTTTGCTGTGCAGGTGAGCTCACATGGCCAGGCTGGTCCCTAGCATGGATAGTCACGGAAGATACAACTTGATTGTGTTTTGTGTATGCTTGGGGCTGTAGGAGTTGGTGCCCAGTGGGCTTCTCAGGTGGCAGGTTAATTATTCCTTGTATGAAAGGGTTTTCACCTTGGACTTCATCCAAGGTGCAGAGAATGAGCAGGGTTATCTTTTGATCATACACCTGTGTTAACTTTAATTAATGCTGTTTTCCTGGAAATCGCTGCTTGAAGAATGCAAAGCATGCCCCAGTATGTATGTGCAGCATTGGGTTATGGGATTCTCTGAAAAAGCCAAATAAGCAGTGAAGGAGGAAACATTCAGATTGGGGAAAAAATGTTAAAATAACAGTTTCATAAACTTTGAACTTGACTGTGTGTATCACAATAAATTGTGGCTAACCTTGAGAAGAATGAGAATCCCTGGGCACTTACTAAAGCTCATATGAAACTTGGACAGGGAAGTCGTCATCAGAACAGAGCAAGGAAATGCTGAATGGTTCAAAATCAGGAAAGGTATATACCAGGGATGCATCCTGTCTCCATACCTTTTCAATCTATATGCAGAACAGATTATTTGAGAGTCTGGACTTTATGAGGAGGAATGTGGCATCAGGGTTAGAGGAAGACTCATTAATAACCTGTGTTAATGCAGATGACATAACCTTGCTTGCTGAAACTGTGGAGGACCTGAGGTGTTTGTTACAAAAGGTCAAGGATTGTCATCTTCAATATGGACTGAAACAGAACATCAAGAAAACAAAGATTCTCAGTACTGGGCTGCTTAGCAGCATCATGATAGATGGAGAAGGTTTTGAGGTTGTTAACAATTTTAGCTTGCTTGATTCCACAATCAACATTCTTGGTACCAATAGTCAGGAAATCAAAAGACAAATTGCACTGGGAAAAATCTGTCAGGGACCTCTACAGAGTGCTGAAGAGCAAGGATGTCATTTTGGAGACTAAGGTATTCCTTATCTAAGCTGTGGTCTTCTCAATTACTTGCTGTGTGTCAAAGAGCTGGACAATGACAAGAATGATAGAAGAAAATTGATGTTGAGTTGTGGTGCTGGAGAAGAGTATTGAACTTACCATGGACCGCCAAGAAGACACAAGTCTGTCCTGGAGAGGATGAGACAAAGCTACTCCTTGGAGGCTAGGATTGTGAAGCTCCATCTCACTTTGGGTGTGGTTCCAGGAGGGAGAGTCCTTGGAGAGGGACATCATGTTTGGAAGGGTAGAAGGACAACACAGAAGAGAAAGAACTTGGATGAGATGGATTGACACAGTGACGAGGGTAATATGATTAGGTGTGTCAGAGACAATGAGATTGGCTCAGGATAAGGTAGAATTCAAAGCTGTCGTGCACAGGGTCACTCTGAGTCTCAAGCAACTCAATAGAGTAGCAGCATTGGAGGACAGGGAGAAATGCCCTGTGGATTGACAATGCTGTCAATGTCTGTGGAAGCAGACTGCCTCACCTTTTCCCTAAGAAGCCAATATTAAATCATCCAGACCAGTGAACACTGAGTTAATGACTGACCCTTTAACCCAGACATGGACAGGATTCCTCCATATAAATAAAGCCTAGCACAGTCTACTCTTTTTTTTCTGAAAACAAGTTTTATTTAAATAAGTGTAAATACATTACATAACATTAAAACTGAAAAGGGTGGTGGGGGGACAACCAGTTGTTCCTTCACAGGGCATTGGGCCGCTGTTGCCATCAAGCTGCAAGCTCTACAGCTAGCCAGGACGGATACGTCAGCTTGTTCCCGTGTCAAAAGTTTAACTCTGAAGTTTGCCTCACATCCTGGTGTTTTCTGGGACAGACAAGGTTTCAGGATTATGTCTGGTCAGAAAGAACTAAGACCTTGGTGGCAGATAGATGTCCCATCTCTCTCCTAATCTCTGCCTGCTTTGCTGGGTACAGTCTACTCTTGAAGGTGTCCCCATTGCCCCCAAACTCTTTGGTTCTTGAATTCACCATTCTCATCTTGACAAGTTTGCCATTAGAATGTGATAAATAATATCTGTGGTCTTCTGTACAGATTCTTTATCCTCTCAGCCTATTTTGTGTAAGCGATGCTCAGCCTCTCTCACATCTGTCAAGCTGTAACTGACAGCAGACCCTCCACTGGGATTTTGGAAGCTTTATAATTCATGGGAGGAATTTGCCCCTTTTTTCTGCCCCTGAGACCCAGGTGGATTTGACCTTCCAGAGAGGCATCAACTTGATGCCCTTGGGCTAGCAGCATATCTCATTGCCGATGACACCACTCATCCTGCCCCTTCTCGTACGGCTAGTTCTTCTCCTTTGTTTGTTGCTGTTGTGTGCCATTGAGTTGCTTGTGAACTCAGAGCAACCCTATGTACAAGAGCCCTAAATGCTGCTCTATCCTGTGTCAACCTCGCCATCTCAAACACACTCATTCCCACCACTCCACTCACAAAATCGATCCATCTCATCGAAGGTCTTCCTCTCCTTTGCCACCCCTCAACTCTCCAAAACATGATGCCCCTCTCCAAGGACCAGTCCCTCCTTGCAACATGCCCAAAGTATGTCAGAC